CATTGTGCAATCATCAGCAGACATCCCATCTCCTAACATTGAGATGAGAGGATGGTCATTGTAAAAACAACTGAAGATGTTTGGAGCTGGAGAAACACAGCAGGCCATGCAGCATCAGAGGAGCAGGAAAGCTGACATTTCGGGTCGGGACCCTTAGAACATAAGAACTAGGAGCAGGAGTAGGCCGTCTGGCCCTTCGAGCCTGCTCCGCCATTCAATAAGATCATGGCTGATCTTTTCATGGACTCAGATCCACTTACCCGCATTCTCACCGTATCCCTTAATTCCTTTACTGTTCAAAAAAAATCTACCTTTTTTTAAAAAAACGTTTACTGAAGTAGCGTCAACTACTTCACTGGGCAAGGAATTCCATAGATTAACAACGCTCTGGGTGAAGAAATTCCTTCTCAATTCAGTCCTAAATCTGCTCCCTCTAATCTTGAGGCTATGCCCTCTTGTCCTAGCTTCACCTGCCAGTGGAAACATCCTCTCTACTTCTATCTTATCTATTCCCTTCATAATTTTATATGTTTCTATAAGATCCCCCCTCAATCTTCTGAATTCCAATGAATATAATCGCAATCTACTCAGTCTCTCCTCATAAGTCAACCCCCTCAACTCCGGAATCAACCTAGTGAACCTCCTTTGTACCCCCTCCAGTGCCAATACATCCTTCCTCAAGTAAGGAGACCAAAACTGCACACAGTACTCCAGGTGTGGCCTCACCAGCACCTTGTACAGCTGCAACATAACCTCTCTGCTTTTAATTTCAATCCCTTTAGCAATGAAGGACAAAATTCCATTTGCCTTCCTAATTACTTGTTGTACCTGCAGACCTACCTTCTGTGATTCATGCACAAGGACACCCAGGTCTCTCTGCATAGCAGCATGCTGCAACTTTTTACCATTCAAGTAATAATCCTTTTTACTATTACTCCTACCAAAATGTGTGACTTCACGTTTATTTACATTGTATTCCATCTGCCAGACCTTTGCCCATTCACTCAATGTATCTATGTTCCTCTGCAAAGTTTCACAGTCCTCTGCACACTTTGCTCTACCACTCATCTTAGTGTTATCTGCAAACTTTGACACCCTACACGTGATCCCCAACTCCAAATCATCTATATAAATTGTAAATAATTGTGGTCCCAACACCGATCCCTGAGGCACACCACTAGTCACTGACTGCCAGCTAGAATAGCACTCATTTATCCCCACTCTTTGCTTCCTGTTAGTCAACCAATCCTCTATCCATGCTAATACTTTACCCTTAATGCCATGCATCCTTATCTTATGCAGTAGCCTGTTGTGCGGCACCTTGTCGAAGGCCTTTTGGAAATCTAGGTACACCACATCCACTGGGTCCCCATTGTCCACCTCGCTCATAATGTCTTCATAGAATTCCAAAAGATTTGTCGAGCATGACCTGCCCTTCATGAACCCATGCTGCGTCTGCCCAACGGGACAATTTCTATCAAGATGCCTTGCTATTTCTTCCTTGATAATAGACTCGAGCATCTTCCCCACTACAGAGTTAAGCTAACCGGTCTATAATTCCACATCTTTTGTCTACTTCCCTTTTCAAACAGTGGCGTCACATTTGCTGTTTTCCAATCTGCTGGGACTGCCCCAGAGTCCAGCGAATTTTGGAAAATTACCGCCAGTGCACCTGCTATTTCTCCCACCATCTCTTTTAGTACCCTGGGATGCATTCCATCAGGGCCAGGAGACTTATCAATACTTAGCTCCATTAGCTTGCCCAACACTACCTCTTCCGTAATAATGGTTGTTTCCAGGTCCTCACCTACCTTCGTCTCTTTGTCAATTACTGGCATGTTGTTAGTGTCCTCCACTGTGAAGACCGATACAAAATACCTGTACAAAATACCTGTTCAATGCCTTCTTCAGAAATGACATATATTTCCAAGCCAGGAGAAGGGTCCCAGCTCGAAACGTCAGCTTTCCTGCTCCTCTGATTCTGCCTGGCCTGCTGTGTTCCTCCAGCTCCACATTGTGTTATCTCTGACTCCAGCTTCGGCAGTTCTTACTATCTCTGAAGATGTTTGGGCCTGGTATATAATCCTGAGGAACCAGTGGAGAGCTTTCCTCTACTAATTCCCTGACTCCAGTTAACCTAAGTAGCTGTGTGTTTGACAATTCATTCGTGTATTGTTTCAAATTTGTCTATAGATTTCTGAAAGTCCCTTGACCTGAGCCCTCACCCACTTTTCAGTTCAAAGCCCTATCCACAGCCCTAGTTATATGATAGACCAGCCTTGTTTAAGTGGAGCCTATGCTAATGAAATAGTTCCTTTCCACAGCACAGTTACCATTTATCTAAAATCTGAAGCCCACACCACTCTTTAAGCTATGTATTTAATTCTCTAATCTGCTTGACCCAATGCCAGTTGTGCAGCTGAAGTGACAATCCAGAGATTATTACCTTTGAAATTCTGCATTTTCATTTGGGCACTAACTCTTCAACCATTTTCAACAAAACATCATTGCTATTCCTTGTTATTAGATCCTATTCAGTTTATGACAACTGGATTATCCACCTCCCATTCCATGTTCATGTTCAGCTGTGCAATAACTTTAACCTTGGCACCAGGCAGGAACGTGACCTTTGGAATGCCCAATAGTATCTGCAAAGAACTGTATCTAATCCCTACTAAACTGTTCCCTACCATTTCAACATTTCCTTCTCAGTCCCCCAATTTGAAAAGTTTCCTCCATCATGTGCTATGGTTAGTTTACCTTTCCATTCTGCAGTTCTTGTTCACATCCATGCTGTTAGAATGTACCTCATGCTTTCATTGGTCAATGTCCAGGGCTTAAACTCCTTCATCACTACATCCTGGATTGTCCATAACTGCCTCACTCAGGCACTGTTATCTTGGATCATTAACCAGCTGAGTTCTATGTAACCTAATCACAAAATCCCTACAGTGTGGAAGCAGGTCATTCAGCCCATTGCGTCCGCACCGACTCTCCAAAGAGAGCCCCCTACCATATCCCTGTAACCCTGCATTTCCCATGTCTAATTCACCAAGCCTGCACATCCTGGATACTATGGGCAATTTAGCACGGCCAATCCATCTAACCTGCACATCTTTGGACTATGGGAGGAAACCAGAGCACCCAAAGGAAACCCACACAGACATGGGAAGAATGTGAAAACTCCACACAGACAGTGCCTGAGGGTGGAACCAAACCTAGCTCCCTGGCGCTGTGAGGCAGCAGTGCTAACCCCTGTGACTGCCTCCTAGAACAAAGTTTATCCCTCCCTCTTCCAAATACTTGCAATGTCAGCATGTCTGACTCCGGCTCAGCAACTCTGAGCAGAAGTTGCAAAAGCTACATATACCTAAGGAGAAAATGTATTGCAATTCTGTCCACAAAAACCAAGTATTGCAGTTTCAGCACACCACCAACCCTGTTATGTCTACCAAACATGTTTGATTTATTTGATTAGTTGTTACTTTATAATATATTAGTAAGGTGACAAATCACATAAGATCTCAAAATTCATCTATAAAGGCCTATTTAATGACATGAAAATAAGTCATAGCTTTATCCATTTAAGTGCAATGCCAGAAGTGTTGACAGAAAGATCTTTGTGCTGCCAAATCAACATTTGAAATGCTCTTCAAGATAGATTGGAAAAAGTGAAAACATAGTGTCATTTAAAAAACTTGTTGAAATGTGGGCAAAGTTTCAAGGCAGCTTTCATTATCTATGTGTGGTTGCTTTGAGAGCTTCTAGGTCAAACATACAGGGTTGAATCTCTTCTGGAACACTGTGTCCAGTTCTGGTCGCTCAGTTATAGGAAGGATATAATCAAGCTGGAGGGAATTCATAAGAGATTTATCAGGATGTTACTGGGTATGGAAGGTTTGAGTTATAAAGAAAGGCTGGATAGGTTGGGACTTTTTTCACTGGAGGTTGAGAGGCGCCCTGATGGAAGTTTATAAAATAGTGAGAAGTATAGATAGAGTTAATGGTAGTTGTCTTTTCCCTTGGATGGGAGATTTCAAGACTAGGGGGGGCACATTCTTAAGGTGAGAGGAGAGAGATTTAAAAAAGACATGAGAGGCAAATTTTTTACATGGAAGGTGGTTCGTGTGTGGAATGAACTTTCTAAAGAAGTGGTGGATTCAGGTGCAAATACAACATTTAAAATACATTTTAATATATAAATGAATAGGAAAAGTTTGGAAGGATATGGGCCATGAGCAGGTACGTGGGACTAGCGTAGAATTATGTTCGGCATGGACTGGTTGGACTGAAGGGTCTGTTTCCCTGCTGTATGACTATGATTCTATTAGGAACTAGTAGTGAGGGGAAAAGGATGTAGGGTTGCACAGAGACCACATGTCATAGGCCTGACACTGGGAACTCAGTGTTAAATTACACGAGAGAGGGAGAGGCAATGATGCCTACCTCTGGGTCTGCCACTGGGACCACATTGCCAATATTGTTGCACTGTGGAACTGGAGATACATAGCATCAGAGTGAGAAGGACTGACAATTTCTACTCCCAGAAAGAAATTAGTGAATCATTTGAGTGTTAATGATAATGCTGCAGCTTCACAATAGTTTATTTTTACTAGTACAGCCTGCCAGAATTACTGAATTAAATTTCGCTACTGCACTTTTTATGGTGGGATTCAAACTCAATTCTTCATCATTGCTAGCAGAGGGTCCCAATTGTTATACTTGAAGATGTGAGTTCAAGGAAAAGTAGGAAACCGTGAATAGATGAATAAATTGAGATGTTTTAAATGGCCTGTATTACCAACATATATTTTATGAAGTCAACCTAGGTTGTTTCCACACATCCTGAAGTAGAATCTACAGAGCTAAATATGATGCAGTGCTAGTTGAGGAGAAAATAATTTAATGGACAGAATATTTAATTATTTGAGGAAATCACCGAGAAGGAACCGCCTAAGTACAGTACTTAATAAATTCTGTTCATATTTTTGTATTGACAGTTGAAAGCGCAGAAATTAGAAATGGAGAGTGTATTAAATGCTACATTGATTCAGGTATGTGGTCCACTTCTAGCAACTCTGAATTTCAAAACAATCAGGTATGTGTTATCTTAAACAGAACAAGTGTTTTTGATTAAATTCTAGATTAATCAGCAGAAGCCATTGTTCCAGATTCGTGAAGTTTTCTCTGAAAGATGCTGCATTAACAAATCTTGCACTGAAGAATTTAAAGGAAGTTATAGAAGATAAAATCCATTTTCATATGAAACGAATGATCACTATGAAAGGTTTATTGTATAATTACTGACAGTACTTGGCCGGGGGAGTTGAAGCTCACTAGTCTTACTGAAATATCATTACCTGTTTTTGGCAGTCATAACATGTAAACGAAAGTGTTTCAGTACAGATCTATTTCTTGCTTTCAAGTTTGAGAGTTCAGACAAAACTGCTTAGATGTTGTTAATCAACCTGTTCAGAGATGTTATTACACACTGCTGGAGCAGGTGGGACTTAAATAAAGGTCTCCTAGCACAGTGGTAGGGACACTACCGCTGTACCACAAGCACCCTTATCAAATAGCGTAAAACAGACTCAAAAACTGATACCAGCTGATGAGAAGCTTTACTCATACCATTCAAGCAGTCTCCTAGTGAACCCACATGGCGCAGTATTGAGTTGGACTATTTTGCATGCCTAATGAAAGCAACAGCGTCATGAAAGAGACCAACAATTAATTAATAGGAATGTAAGGCATTAGAAATTTCATATGAAAGTAAGGAGATGTGATCCGTCCAACCCCAATTTATTTTTTAATACAAATTATTTAAAATCCAGACTGCCATTCGATATATTTTACTGATTCTGTTGCTGAACTTACTATAGTAATAGCTGTTCCAATTATGCTATGGTAGATGTTGTATGATGAATCCTTACCACTGTCACCTTGGTGAAATGTACATCGAATAGATTTGCTGCCACCATTGTACTTTTAAGTTGGGATCTAAAATACCTGTTTAGCCTTGTGTGGTTAAGGGACACCATTTGTTATCGAATGAGAAGAGGCTGTCATCTGAAATTTTTTTTTCTTTATTCATTCATGGGATGAGGGTGTCACTGGCTAGGCAGCATTTATTGCCCATCCCTAATTGACCAGAGGGCAGTTAAGAGTCAACCACATTGCTGTGGGTCTGGAGTCACATGTGGCCACACCAGGTAAGGATGGCAGTTTCCTTCTCTAAAGGACATTAGTGAACCAGATGGGTTTTTCCAACAATCAGCAATGGATTCACAGTCATCATTAGATTCTTAATTCCAGATATTTGTTGAATTCAAATTCCACTGTCTGCCGTGGCAGGATTTGAACCCAGGTCCCCAGAACATTATCTGGGTTTGTGGATTAACAGTCCAGCAATAATACCACTAGACCATTGCCTCCCCAAGATGCAATTTATTGTGTGATAACAATCAGGTACAAGTCAGTAGTATTATTAAGGAGACCTGGATAGTAGATTTTCTCCTTTTGAGATCCAGAGTTGCTTTTCCGCCCATGTGTGTATGTCAGCATCATATTGAGTGGTGCTTAAACCTTTCAGAGCTAAGTATCTTATAAAATTGTAGAATGCATGAATACAGCGATTAAGTAAATATGCAGAAAAGATAGAATCGATTCAATGGGGCATTTTTGATTGATTGATTTGATTTATAGTCATGTGTACGTAAGTACAGTGAAAAGCTTTGTTTATGAGCATTATAGGCAGATCATAGGAAGCAAGGACATACAGATCGTAGGATGAAAAAAACTTGAACAGAATGAGGTATACAGGTTACAACGTACATGACATGAGCGAGGCAAGAATAAGATTAACAAGATCAACATTATTTGAATTTAGAGAATCCATTGATCAGTCTAATAACAACAGGGAAGAAGCTGTTCTTGAACCTGCTGGTGTGTGTGTTCAAGCTTTTGTATCTTCTGCCTGACAGAAGAGGTTGTAGGAGTGCATTACCAGGGTGGAAGGAGTCTTTGATGAAGTTGGCAGCCTTTACGCAGCAACGAGAGGTGTAAATGGAGTCCATGGATGGGAGGTTGGCTTCCATGATGGTCTGGGCTGTGCACACAACCTACTGTAGTTTCTTACAATCCTGGGCAGAACAGTTACCATACTAGGCTGTTATGCACCCACACTGTATGCTTTCTATGATGCATTTGTAACAGTTGGTGAGTGTCCTTGTTGTTTATGCCAAACTTCCTGAGCCACCTGAGGAAGAAGAGGCGTTGTTGTGCCTTCTTGACCATTGCATTTACATGAAAAGTCCAGGACAGGTTGTTGGTTATTATCACTCCTAGGAAGTTGATGCTCTCAACCCTCTCAATCTTCGCTCCGTTAATGTAGATGGGGGTGTGTTCTCCTCCTTCATTTCTGAAGTCAATTTAAGTTTCACATAGATTGCATTAAGCATGCGATGTCATATCAAAAAGACATTTCTAGACTGTTCAGGATAGCTGTCTGCAACAATTTTTCGCAGAATCAATAAGGAGGGAGGTCATTTTGACTTAGTGATGTTATTTTATAATGACCATAATATGTTTAAGCTATAAGTTGTGTTCGAAGCAAGAACTGACTGACATTTGAGCTATGGGCAGTTTCTGACTTTGCTGATGCCATTGCTATGGAATGAATTGATGCTCCTCTGAACGTTAGCCAAATATGAAGGAACATCCATGATGCATAATTCATTGTTATAATGATCTGCTGGCTGAGAACACACACTTCTGAGGAGATTGGTAGACCAACCTTTCTCTGCACCACTCTGCATTTTACCAAGTGAACGTGCAGCAAGTCATAGTAACGCAAAGTTCAGAATAAGAGCAGCTGCTTACTCTGTAGCCCCTCATAAAGCCCAACTCCAAATAACTTCAACAGGGGAGTCTAGACAGTGATTAATCCTTTGAGCACTCCCAGCCTTATTCCATTCCAAGCCATGTCTGCCATCAATGGGTTCTAATGCCTTAGAATGTTGCTGCAGTGTCAGCACATTTCATTCTGACACACAGAAAGCAATGCTGAGGCTATCTGCAGATCTGTCACTGATATATCAGACCACACAACATCAATCCCTCGCTGTCATGTCATTCCTGCCAAGCTGTTGATCTACCACACATGGGTGACACAAATACTGACCTATGTACTTTTTAAAAAAATTCATTCATGAGACATGGACATCACTGGGCCAACAATTTTTTATTTGCCCCTAGTTGCCCTTGAGCAGGTGGTGGTGAGCTGCCTTCTTGAACAGCTGCAGACCATGTGCTATAGGTAGACCCACAAAGCTGTTAAGGAGGGAAATCCATTATTTTGATGCAGTCACATTGAAGGAAGGCGATATATTTCTAAGTCAGGGTGGTGAGTGGCTTGAAGTGGAGCTTACAGCTGAATTGAATTGAATTAGCTTTATTATCACATACTCAAATGAGTACAGTGAAAACTTTGCAGTCACTACATTACAGTGCCATCTTAGGTACAAAGGTACCTAGGTTCAGATACTTAAGGTCAAATTCTTAAGAAGCAAAACAAAATTTGGAAAGCAATAAATAGTCCAGCATTATAGGTCATAATAATAAATTAGAAAAATAAAGAAGTAAAATGTTCGAAACAGTCTTTCCGACCCAGTCCATGCTGGCATCTAGTCTCAAGGGAGACCTCCACTGCCTCACTGCCGCCAGTACCGGACTAACCAATGTAAAAGTTGCCCCACTTTAGGTTCCATCTCTTCATCGTTGGGCCCACTTCACTGATGCTGCTCAACACACACATGCCCACAAATAGGAATCCTGGGCTCCTCTGCCAGGCCAGGCTAGGCCACCGCTGGGCCACGAGTCCTGCTTCAGGTGCAAATGCTGGTGGTGTTCCCATGTATCTGGTCTCACAGTCCTTCTAGATGGTAGTGGCCTTGGGTTTGAAAGGTGCTGTCTAAGGACCTGTAGTGAATTTCTGCAGTTCCCCTTGAAAATGGTATGTATTGCTGCTACTGAGCATCGGTGATGGAGAGTATGAAAGTGGTGCCAATCAGCAGGCTGCTTTGAGTTGGATAGTGTCACGCTTGTCAAGTGTTACTGGAGTGCTCATCTTGGCAAGATGAAGTATTCTATCACTCTCCTGACTTGTGCCTTGTAGGTGGTGGACAGGCTTTGGAGAGTCAGAAAGTGAATTACTTGCTGCAGCATCTATAGTCTCTGACCTGCTGTTGTAACCACAGTACTTGTATGGCTAGTTCAGTTCAGTGTCTAGTCAATGTTAATCCCCAGGATATTGATAGTGAAGGATTCAGTGATAGTAACACCATTTAATGTCAATGCACATTGGTTAGTTAGCCTCCTATAGGCAATGATGAATGCTTGGCATTTTGTAGCACCAATGTTACTTGTCACTTATCAACCCAAGCTGGATATTGTCTAGCTTCTACATTTAAACATGGATTAAGGAATCATGAATTGTGCTCAACATTGTGCAATCATCAGCCAACATCCCCACTTCTGACCTTATGATGGATGGAAGGTGGAGGGAAGGTCATTGATGAAGTAGCAGAAGATATTTTGGGCCTAGGACACTACCCTGAGGAACACTTACAAAGATGTTCTAAAGCTGTGATGACTGACTTCCTCCAACAATCACATCTTCCTACATGCTGGGTATGACGCCAACCAGCAGAGGGCTTTCCCTCGGATTCTGATTGATTCCAGCTTTGCCCAGGACTCCTTGATGGCACATTTGACATTAAGACCACATTTGTCCAAGGGCTGTCACTTTCACCTTACCTCTGGGATTCAGCTCTTTTACCCATGTTTAAGATGAAATCAGGTGCTGAGTGCCCTGGTTGAACTCAAACTGGACATCATTTGTACATTACAATCACAGGCACTTCCATGTCTGGCACTATGGTGACTTTACAGTTAAGGAGATTGGCTAGCTCAGTTGGCTGGCTGCTTGGCTTGCAATGCTGAATGATACCAAATGCATGGGTTCAATTCCTACTTCTGGCTAAGATTACCATCT